CTGACAGTGTGGAGCCTGCTTGGGATTCTCTCTCACTCTCTCTCTGCCCCTCCTCCACTTGCACATGAGCATGTGTGTGTGCTCTCCCTCTCAAAATAAATAAATAAACATTAAAAAAAAATTTAAAATTGGGGCGCCTGGGTGGCTCAGTCGGTTAAGTGTCCGACTTTGGCTCAGGTCATGATCTTGCAGTCCGTGAGTTTGAGCCCCACGTCAGACTCTGTGCTGATAGCTCAGAGCCTGAAGCTTGCTTCAGGTTCTGTGTCTCCCTCTCTCTCTGACCCTTCCCCACTCACACTCTGTCTCTGTCTCTCAAAAATAAACATTAAAATCACTTAAAAAAATGTTTTTAAATAAAAATACTTAGTTTTGGGTAATTTTTTTTTTTTACACAGCAGTAGATAACCAATGTACTGCACATTGAGGAAATTCTAGGGTACAAATGATGTAAACAGTAAGAGACAGATATAAAAGAATTCTTTCCTTGATCCATCTACTTATTCACTCATTCTTTGAATACACTTCTACCTGCTTTGCCCCTAGGAATACAAATTCCAGCCTAGTGGGAGAGGCGAACTTGTAAATGGATTCTTAAAATTTAGTGATAAATGCAAATAGAGGAAGGTCCGGAGTTTCTGAGCAACACAAAAGAGGGATAAAAATAATTCTGCCTGGCTTTATGAATAAAGCTTCATTGAGAGTACATTTAATTTGGGTTTTTGAAAAAGGGGTGGGAATTTTCCAGGAAGACAAGGGAAGGAAGAGCTTTCCAGGTAGTGGGATCTACATTTACCTGTACTGAGAGGCCAAGAAAGCCTAGTATGTTTGGGGACTCACTGGTCATCCCATGTGGCTGGATTTTTTTTTTTTTTTTTTTTGAGAGAGAGAGAGAGAGAGGCAGAGAGAGGGGGACAGAAGATCTGAAGTGGGCTCTGTACTAACACCAGTGAGCCCTATGTGGGGCTCAAACTCATGAACCATGAGATCATGACCTGAGCCAAAGTCGGACACTCAACTGACTTAGCCACCCAGACGCTCCCAATGTGGCTAGATCTTAAGAGTACTAGGTGGCAGGGGAGACTGGCAAGGTAGGTTGACTAATCAAGGTACTTGGTGCCAGCCTCAGATTTTTGGTTTTTATCCTACAGGAAATAACAGGTAGAGGTGTTTAAGCTCAGTGAGTACTGTGATCAGATTTGTGTTTTAGAAAGAGAACTCTGGAGGCAATAAGGAGGATGGCGGGAAAGAGGAGTCTAAAGTCAGAGAAATCAGGCAGGATGCTGATTCTGATCCAAGAGAGGGGTCAGATGAGGCCTAGCCCAAGCACTGTCTGTCAAATCGAAAGGAAAGTGAAGGAGGAAGCAGCTTGAGGTTACCAGCTGGGATAATTGGATGGGTGAGCCATCACTCACCAATGGAAGGAATAAAGATAACATGCAGATTTGAGAGTAGAGAATCTGTTAGGATCATGTAGATTATGCTGCAGTAATTAATAACTTTGAAATCTCATTGGCTTAACAAAACAAAGATTTGTTTTGTTTTCTCACTCATACTATAGGTCCTATGTGGTCCACAGGGGTCTCCACTCCATACAGTCACTCAGGGATCCAAGCTCCACCGTCTTGTAGCCACACCACCTACAACACATGGCTCCTTTCGTCACGTCCTCAGTTACATGACAGGAGGAGAGAGAGATACTAGAGAATTGTGTACAGGGCTTTTTATTACCCCAGCCCAGACATGATGTACGTTGCTTCCATGCACATTTCATTGGCCAGAACCAGTCTTATGGCCTCTCCTAACTACAGAAGTTTGGAAAGTAGAGGGGAGCACATAGAATACTTGGTGAGCATGATTTTCTCTGTTTGTTACAAGAAGGTAATAAACTCAGTTTTGAACGCATTTACTTCAAGCAGAAGATATCCGGTAAGCATTTGGAGATGTGGTTCTGACATTCAGACAGGAGTTGAGAGCTTGAGCTGTAGGTTTGAGCACTGATCTTGTCCCTGCCTTCTGGAGGGTTTATCAGTCAATCAATCTGAGGGATGGCGGCCTGCCTACACCCATGTGAGACATTCTGGACAAGAAGAGAAACATATGTATAAATAGCTGTGATCTGCAAGAGGTCAAGTTACATGCTATTTGGCTACAAGCAAAGTGCCATGAAAGGAAAGATGGAGGAGCAGTGAATCCCACGACGGTGAGTAGGAGTGTCACAAGCAAAGGGCAATGATAGCCGACCTCTCAGTGGATTGGTGACCCGACACAGGTAAGGAGTGCATGAGAGCAGCAAAGTATGGTAGATTTGGGGAGAGAGGCACCAGGCAAAAGAGAGAAGTCTAGAAGCGGAGGTAGGCAGGGGGCAGATAGTGGAATGTTTTATTTTTTTTTTATTTATTTTTTAATTTTTTTTTAAATTTTTTTTTCAACGTTTATTTATTTTTGGGACAGAGAGAGACAGAGCATGAACGGGGGAGGGGCAGAGAGAGAGGGAGACACAGAATTGGAAGCAGGCTCCAGGCTCTGAGCCATCAGCCCAGAGCCCGATGCGGGGCTCGAACTCCCGGACCGCGAGATCGTGACCTGGCTGAAGTCGGACGCTTAACCGACTGCGCCACCCAGGCGCCCCAGATAGTGGAATGTTTTAATGCCAGGTCAAGGAGCCCGGACTTTATGCTGTAGTTATAAAAAACCACTGGAGGCTTTGGAGAGAGAGGGGACAGATAGATGTGTGAAGAAGAGATGGGAACATTTTTTGGATTACTTTCCTCCCTTCAGTGGAAACCAGGCTCCTCACTTGCAAGCACATAATGTGTACACACACACACACACACACACACACACACACACACCCCTTTTTCTGCCCAGATCCCAGATCCCACTTCTGTATCATAATCCTAGATGATAACTCCTTTATCACTGTTACCAACTAGGCAATTTATGTGACTATCTGCCCACATTATTCCTTCCTCCCTTTTCTCCTCCCTCCCTCCCTTCCTTCCCTTTCTATTTTCTTACTGAGATATAACCTAGAGTGAAATGCACAAAGTGCATGTTAAGTATAGATTAATGAATTTTTACGTGTGTCAACACTCACATAAACACTATTTAAGATATAGGACACTTTCTTCCAGTGAGTTCTGCTCTAGAGGCAACCACTATTCTGACTTCTATCACAATCAATTACTTGTGTCTGTTCAAGAACTTCTAGCAATGAAATAATATAATATTCCTTTGTTTGTATCTAATGGCTATGAGGTCCATCCGCATAGTTGAATCCTGGTCTTATCCTGAGCTGTTCCAGCTTTTTTTTTTTTTTTTAACATTTATTTATTTTTGAGACAGAGAGAGACACAGCATGCACGGGGGGAGGGGCAGAGAGAGAGGGAGACACAGAATCGGAAGCAGGTTCCAGGCTCTGAGCCACCAGCCCAGAGCCCGACGCGGGGCTCAAACTCGCAGACCGCGAGATCGTGACCTGAGCTGAAGTCGGACGCTTAACTGACTGAGCCACCCAGGTGCCCCGCTGTTCCAGCTTTTAAACCAACTTCCTATCCTTCTCTTTCCCTCTCCTCTTCTTCTTCCCTTCCTTTCTTCCATCAGTATGTAGAAAGTACCTTTGCAAAGGTGCTAGGGAAGCAGCAGTGAGCAATGCAGATTTGGTTCCTGTTCCTTTGGAAGGGTATGTTCTAGTGGGAGGGCGAGCTGAAACCCCAGGTAATTACAACACAGCGTGATGAGCACAGTGTTAGTCAAGTCTAGGGTGCTATGGGAATTCACAGAAGAGGCGTCAAACCCCAACTTTATGGACCACGGAAGACTTCCTGGAGGAAACAATATCTAAGCGGAGACCTGAATGATGAATAGAGTGTTGTGAGCAGCCGCCTGTGTAAAACCTGCAAGGCAAAAGAGGAAATGGTGCTTTCAAGGAACTGCAGGAAGGTCAGAGATGTTCCGCTCAGCTGGAGCGCAGAGTGCAAAGTGGGAAGGGGTGAGGCTGTGGGGGCTAGGTGGGGCAGATGCTGAAGGGCTTTGTGAGCTCTGCTAAGGAATCTAAACTTGAAGGTGTTGGTGGGCCGTCACTGAGGGGTTTTCAGAAGAAAAATGACACAGTGAGGATTTGGTTTCTTTTGTCTATTAATAAATTTGACTTTGAACCGATTTTTTAAAAGCCTTTCAGTTCTTTTAATTTTTATTTATTAAAAAAATTTTTTAAGTTTATTTATTTGAGAGAGAGGAAGAGAGTGCACCAGCAGGGGAGGGGCAGAGAGAGAGAAGGAGAGAGAGAATCGCAAGCAGGCTCCACACTGTCAGTGTGGAACCTCATGAGGGGCTCAAACTCATAAACTGTGAGATCATGACCTGAGCCGAAGTTGGACGCTTAACCGACTGAGCCACACATGCAACCCCCATCCAGTTCTTTTTTTTAAAGTTTGTTTGTTTTTCAGTTTTATTTATTTAAGTAATCTCTATACCCATGTGGGGCTCGAACCCATGACCTTGAGACTAAGAATTCCACGCTCTATTGGCTGAGCCAGCTAGGCGCCCCCTGAATCCATTTTTAAAAGGCATTTTAGGGGCACCTGGGTGGCTCAGTGGGTTGAGCGTCCAGCTTTGGCTCAGGTCAAGATCTTATGGTTCGTGAGTTCAAGCCCCGCATCGGGGTCTGTGTTAACAGCTCAGAGCCTGGAGCCTACTTGGGATTCTGTGTCTCCCTCTCTCTCTGCCCATCCCCAGCTCATGCTTTCTTTCTCTCTCTGTCTCTCTCTCTCTCTCAAAATAAATAAACATTAAAAAAATTTTCTTTTTAAAGGCATTTTAGTTTTTGGAAAGGTATGCACATGGTACCAAAAGGTGTATCATGAAGCACAGGTCTCCCTGGCTCGTCCGTCCCCCACTTTACCAGCCCCCCATAGGTGATCTCTCTGTCTGCAGTGTGGAAAGCAACATGGTAATGAAGCAAGAGTGGAAAATGGAGAACTTCTAGGAAGCTATTGCACATTCTAGGTAAGAGAGGACAGTAGCAGTGGTGGGAATGATTTGAAAGGTGCTTAGGAAGCAAAAACAACAGCACTTGGGCACAGATTAGAAGCAGGGGTGAAGGATGACAGCCCAGGGAGGAGGACAGTGCCTTTCAGTGAGCCAGGGGAACAAAGGGGAGCACAGGGAGGGGAATGTGGTGGACAGTCTGCAAAGAAATGCCTTCTCCATTCGGAGCCTTTCATCTAGTTTTCACTCTCCTTGAATCTGGGTGGCCTTTGACTTGCCTTGATCAATAGGATGCAGTAAAACTGATGTCCTGACAGTTCAGGTGTAGGTTTTAGGAGGCCCGCCACAGCTTCCACTTTGGCGTCTCGGAAGCCAGCCACCATGTGAAGTGTAAGCACGCTGCAGGAGAGAAAGAGGCTACTCAGAGAGGGAGAGAGACACTCTGGAGGATGAGAGACTAGGCAGGAAAGAGAAGCACCCCCGTCTCTCCCTGCCACGTTAGCAGAGGCGCCAGACACATTAGTAAGGCCACCTCAGATGCTCCAGGCCCAGCTGAACTCCCCCCCCCCCCCCAACACTGCAGGGAGCGGAGGCAAGCCGTCCACACCAAACCCTGCCCAAACTGCAGAATCGTGAGCACATAAAAGATTGCTGTTGTTTTAAGCCACTCGGTTTGGGGTGGATTGTCACCCAATAGATAACTGAAAGAAGTAGGGAGGGATGGGGGAGAGAGGGTATAAGTTCTGCATCCATGGTCTTTCCTTCTTTTCATTCTTAAAATCCTCAGTGTCCCTGCGAAACACCTGCAGCTTTATAATTCAGCTTTATAATCTTCCACCTAGAAGGTTCAGGTGTCTTGGTCTACTGTTTCTCCAGTGCCCACATCAACAGCTCTGAAACCCAACTGCATGTTGATTACTGTTTCCTTGGGTCAACCTAGGGTTGATTCCAATTCTATCTTTGTTTCGGAGGTGGGGGGGGAGGGAGGAGGAATTTGTTTTTTCTAACATCATACCCCAGGGAGAAATGTTATTTCTTTGTATTCCTCATTTTCTAATGCAGGGCTAACTGTAAAGTATAGTTGTTCACTAAATGCCAGACGAATGACTAATGAGGCTCACTTGGAGAGAATCCTAAATGGGGTTCAATTCCTAACTTCCTGTTCTAACCAGAGGCCTTCAGTTTCTCCATTTATGCAAGAAGGTCTCACCGCACTCCTTCCGACTCATGTACAGTAATGAGTTAAGGGGCTTCAACGTTGTCAGAGAGCCATTTGTCTGTGCCTCCATGGAGAAATGGCTGGGCCCAGGAGGAAGCAGGTGATGTGACACAAGCGGGTGTGGGGACAAAGACCCAGAGAGGTCTATGTTCCTCAGCAGGAGAGGGGACGTGTATATTTGCTGCATGAGGGCGAGAGGGTGACTGACCCCATGCTCCCTGTCTCAGTGGCCCTCCTCTGCCCTCACACGGGACTGCCGCCAAGAACTGCCAGTTGGGAGAGACTGCCATCACTCCCCTCCTCTGGATTGCCTCTCCAGGGAGACTTGGGTACCCTCCACGCAGTCCCTGTTGACTGCTCTTGGTGGCCTGCCCAGAGCCCATTTCTCCACAGGTCTGAGGAGATGGGCATCTTCCCTGTAGCCCCAAACCCAGTTCTAGTGACAGTGGAATCTAAGAAGGAACTCAGAAGACACTCCAGTCTAACTTTCCCATATTCAAGATAAGGAAACTAAGGCCCAGGTCAGGGAAGTGACTTGTCCAAACGCCCCAACTGGTTCATGGCAGAGGTGAGGCCAGCACCCACATTTCTCAACTCCCAAATTGGTGCCCTCTGTTGCTTACACGGCCTCCTGCAGGGCTCTCCCCTCTCTGACCTCCCTTTCCTTTTTACTATTCCTTCTCTTCTCAGCCTCTCTCCAGCACATGCCCCACATAGGGACACTTCCAACAGGGGAGGGGGTGGCTAGCAGGCAGCCTGTCCTAATGGATGTGGGACATACAGAAGGCAGATGAGGTGTGTGCACTCCAAACATGTCAAGCGGCGCCACTTAACACAGCTGCTCAGGCTTGGGCATCGATACACATGCACACATGGACAGTCACACACCTCCTTTAGGGTCACCTATGTTTTCCACCAGTCCCCCCAGTCAGATGGACCTTGGCACAAAGTCAAGTCACAAGACTCCTCACCTGGCCTCAGCCCTTGGTGTCCCACAAACTAGCTAAACTGGCGGCACCTGGGTAAGGACAGCTGAATGACCCGTTCTGGCCCTTGATCCAGAGATGGGAAAGAGAAGACAGGTTCACAGCTGTCATCAACATGGCACATCTTTTTTTTTTTTTTATTTTTTTTTTCAACGTTTATTTATTTTTGGGACAGAGAGAGACAGAGCATGAACGGGGGAGGGGCAGAGAGAGAGGGAGACACAGAATCGGACACAGGCTCCAGGCTCCGAGCCATCAGCCCAGAGCCCGACGCGGGGCTCGAACTCAAGGACCGCGAGATCGTGACCTGGCTGAAGTCGGACGCTTAACCGACTGCGCCACCAGGCGCCCCAACATGGCACATCTTTATGTACTTAGAACTCCTGCCTCTGGATCTCTAAATGTCCCTCCCTGAGAGGATAACGGGACAGTGAGGACCCCACTTTCCTTCTTCTTTCTGCTCCCTTTGCTACCCCCCTCTTCCCGTCTTGATAAGAATCTGTTTGAATGAAGCTCCTGCCAGGCCATAGATTCCATCTGAGACATAGCTGGATCTCTTAAAACACAAGGGGAGATGTTTATCTTTCCTCCCAGCTCTGTCCTGTCACCTCCTCCTGGGCATTGCCAGCCAAGGGCACCGCCTGGTGAGACAAATTAGGTAAGTCTGAGCCGGGCCCCTGGTACCTACTGCTAAGAGGGTAAGCAGTGCTGGGGGAGGGGCGGGTAGGGCGGGAACTGAGACTTCCCTTCAGAGTTGTTCACCTCTTCCCTCCTCCTCTGCTCCCCACTCCACCCCACCCCCAGTCATTCCAATACCCCCCACCTCTGGAAAAGCCAGATTGGGATTCGATCCCCAGCCAGTTGCCGGAGTTCCGGAGCAGCTGTCCCAGGCTTGGGAGGGGGAGGGGGCCAGGAATGCTGGAGCTGAGGCCTGGGCCGCCCCAGACAGAGCAGGCTCTGAATTCTGGGAATGTTTGTGCAGCTGGAGCCCATTAGGGGAGGGAGCCGCGCCGCTTATTAATCCCAGCCTTGTTCCCCGGGAGGGGCCAGGGCCCTGCACACGAGTGGAGGGGGACGGGGCTCTGCTGCAGGAGGCAGCCCCCAGCCCTCAGCCCCCTGCTTGGTTGAGACTCCATCAGGAGCTTGGAGATCTGGGGCCCTGTGCCTGGCTTGCATGGTGCACATATGTGTGGGGAGGCGAGTGTGGAGGGGTGGGTGTGGGCACAGGTAAGGGGCCTGTGGGGGGTGGGGGACGCGGTGAGGTTCCACAGAAGTGCTCCTACCTGGGGAGGCGGGAGGCCCACGGTGGTGCTGGGAGGGGGTGCTGTGTACTCCTCAGGGATCCTCACCTGCCCCCCAGAAGCTCCTTGCTGGCAGGCACTCTTACAGCAGGAGAAGAGAAGGAGGTCACGAATTCCTGTTGGCTTAAGTATTTGAGTGTGTGCACAAAGAGGGCTGAGCAGTGAGTGGGGAGGCAGCCACCGGGGCCACATCCTGCAGCAGCTCCAGGAGTGGCCATTTAGTAACGTGAAGAGCACCTCCGGGAGTGGTGCAGTGTGTGACCTGTGCAGCCACACACAGTGCTCCGGGTGTAGGGAGTCTGGGGGCCTGGGTTTAGTTCCAAGCTAGCACTGCGGATAGGGTGGTGCACTGAAACTGAAACAAAGGGCCTGGCCTGGGGTCCCAGTTCTACGGACTAGCTGTGGGGCCTGGGATACATTTCTTAGCTTCTTGGAGCCTTGCTTCCTTTATTGGGATAGGGTCTGTCCTATGTGTCTTATAGGATTGTTGTACAGATCATGTTCCTTTGTCTCTGTATCCATCCATCCATCCATCCATCCATCCCACAAACTTGATGGCTACTATATGCCACATATTCTGCTAGTGACCAGGGCCTTAAAAGTGAATAAGGACATTGACCGTTAGAAGCTCATCCTTAATAGTATGGGGTGGTGTGGGGTTATCACATACACGGATAGAGTGTAATGTGGCAAGCTCTAACCCTGTGTCATGGAGACTGGAAGAGGAAGCAGTGCTAGCCAGCCCATCACAGGTGTGTTCTTAGGATAACATGTATGAAGGTGCCCTGTACACTATATGGCCCAGCACAGTGTGGAAAGAGGCCGTGGCAGGATCCTCTGAGACAGAACTGAGGTCTCATTGTACTTACTGGCACATCTCCAGCTGGGGCTGGGGCTGCTGGATGCTCAGGGTGATAATATCAGAAAGTTCCAGGATGAACTAGGACTTTGGTAGGTTGGGAGCTCTGACAGAAATCCCAGAAACCCCTTTGAGGGCCAGGGAGGAAGGCTCTATGACCAATTCGATAGAGAAGGTTAGCTTTATTTTTGGGGAAGCTTTTTTTTTTTTTTTAACGTTTATTCATTTGAGAGAGAGAGAGAGAGAGAGAGAGAGAGAGACAGAGACAGAGGATCCCAAGCAGGCTCATGCCGATAGCTGAGAGCCCGATGCGGGGCTCAAATCATGAGATCATGATCTGAGCCAAAGTCTGACACTTAACAGGCTGAGCTACTCAGGGTAGCCCCCCCCCCCTTTTTTTTGAGAGAGAGAGGGTTAGCTTGGTGCCTTTGCTGAATTTCATACTGGGAGATGGTGAGGAGGGAATGGGGCAAATGGGAGAGGGAAAGTCAATAAAGGGCTGGGGCCTTGGGAGCTTTGGAGAGGGGTCATCTGCCTCAGCCATCCCCAGAAGCCTCTGCAAACAGGAGGAAGGAAGGCCTCTCCTCTCACCTCCAACCCCACAACAGTCCCTGAGTTCACAGGGTCTCCAGCTCAGGTAGAGCTCCCTTCAAAACGTCAGAGAACTTCCCAGGAGGGCTGCTGGGACAGGAACCATAGAACACCAAGCCTTGTAATTACTCTGACAAAAATTTAGGATCTTGGGATGGGCAAGGAATGGGAACAGTTGTCTGAGAATTCCCAGGTCATGCCTGCAAAGTGTTGGCCCCAATGGCTCCAAATGGCACTGGCCATTTCAGGCATAGATAGCCTCTGAAGTGAGTACTCCTGTCCAAGGGGCTCACTGCTTTTAGGTTCCAGGCCACATGTCTAAGGAACTAAACAAGGGCTATCTCTGTGGAACAGAATCAGAGAGGTAAGTAGGAGGCCCACAGAATTCTGGAGGCTCAGTTCCTGCCTTTGGGGAACCCTAGTCTAAGACGGGATACAGCCCC